ATCTGATAATTACCCAAAACCCAAAAACTTGACGGAAAACGGCCACACCGCTTCTCCAGCAATAATTGAAAAGACACGAAACATTAATTATTTTAAATAAGGAACCTATTGATCGCTGGAGAAACGGTGTTGCCGTTTTTGTCAAGTTTGTCGGATAATTATCAGGCGTACTTACCATTGAATAATGCGGTGCGGTGTTACCAGATCTACTCTAGAAATTTCCCCATATTTGGGGAAAAACGATAAAAGTGGAGTCAAGTGAATTTACTACCAACTAAGATAGTTCCTGTGCTAAGGCATTGTTATCAATTTTTTTAATAGCTGTTAGGGTGCGAAAATGATGAGTACTTCCAACGAGTATCTGATATACAGGGTGTACCAATAAAAACTCCCAGGCCGGATATTTTAGTATATAATAGAGATATTTTAATTTTGTAAAAGCCAGTTCACAGAGCACTAAGAGAGCTTTAATTTTAGATATTAATTAATTTTAAATGGGTCAATATGTAGATGGCGCTGCGCTCAATAATTTTTTTTCGAGGGGAGGATCTTTCTTGTGTAGCGCATCTTGTGAAAAAAAGGCATTTTTGAGCAGATTTTGTTTTATGAACTAATTCGATAAATCTTGCCATTTTTGACATACCGAGTGGGTTATTCAAAACAGTTTCATCCTGTTTTTCAGCATTATTCATTGGATTTTAAGAAAATGCTAAAACAGGTCGATTTTTATTCCAAATTAAAAACATTTTTACAATACAGACATCTGTCATGTGTCAACCCCCTCCCTTGCACTTCTCCAACATCTTAATTTTAAACAGGTAATGTACCATGTATGGCACATCATTGAAAAAGTAATTTAATGGGGGATTTAGATATATTCTTGTACATTGCGTTACTTAAATTTTATCGCCCTCTAGCGGGATAAAAAAACCTACGTATTATAAAGTGTGACACCTTATTTGAAAGAAAATTTAATTACTAATTCAATGCACCACAAAAAAGGATAAATAGATAAACAGATCATGGTCTTTTGGTCGATTTGCTATCGCCCGGGAAATATTGGATATTTTAGAATTCTACCATCAAAAATTTGGCGGGCTGTCTAATATTTCTCGAGTGCCGCATGTAATCTATACTTGATCTAGATCAGTGTTTTTGTCCTCAAGCAAAATCTTGAAATCTAAAAAAAAAAATATGTGTGGCACTCGGGGACTGCCGCGGTAAAGCTATTGCATAGCATTTTTTATCAACTTATGCAATTATAATTATTTATTTATAATTATTAATTCAAGTTACACTTTTTGAGCGTGGTGACCGATAAGAAAACATTTTTTTTTCTTTTATTGAATAAATGAGAAGTTAATATTGTTTAAAATATTTTTGTTATCTTACAATACATGTAGATTATTCAGGAATTTTTATCATTGAAACTATAGGTTCATGGTAACTGAAATAAGAAACATAAGTTTGAGACTTGATATCTTCTAAATATCTGGAAAATACCGCGTCAATGGTGGTCCCATATTTTGTTGTAGATTCTTGTGGATCATTATTCATTTTCAAATTCAATTTTTCCGAAATTGTGCCGAAGTCTGCCGAACTGAAATAACGTTAGACGATGCACGGCTTTCAACGCCGCACCGCTGTGCCGGTCGGAGTGGGGGGGGGGTGTTAGGTTTATTTTCGTTACGGAATTTCTAAAGTCCATAAAAGTTTTCTACAATTTATCTCATTGGGTTACTATGCTACGATGATAAACGCAAAAAGTATAGGGAGCCAAAGCTTTTTTTATATATCCATTTATCTCTATATCTCTTATATATTCCAGATAAGTTTAGACTTAAGGTCACACAGACAAATAAATAAACTATAGATTTAAAATTTAAATTATATTAAAAAATATCAATAATAATAATATTAGAGAAATAAAATTTCTTAGCACTAATGGATCACCCTATTTAATCAAAATACAAAATAATAAAAATCAAAAAGTTCTTGAAAAGTCAATGAATTGTAAGTTTATCTAAATAAATATAAACGAATCAATCGATAAGCAAACATCGAAAAGCTTTACCTCTTCTGTTTATAAAATACAACTAAAATAAACAAAAAAAATCGAATATTTACATTATTGTAAACGAATTAGTTACTAAGTGATTTCAATTAATTGACAAGATTTGATTACGATTGTTTAATAAATAAGCCTTACCTATTTTTAGTAGTCTGTCAGAAAGAAAAATAAATTATTTATAAAAAATTATCAAATCTACGTGGCACAAATAATATAAAATACAGGAAAAACAAAATTTTTCAAATTCCATCTATTATAAATTATATTCAATATCACTTTATCTTCTATAACAGACTAGACTATCTGCAATTTGATCATCCTTTACCCCGCTATATTAAATAACATGTTACTGTAACGTTTGTTTAATTTATTTATAGTTTATTTAAAACACTTTATTTATAATTGATTTATAACGTACTCTATCTTCTATATATAGGTATAAAATTGTTTGTCCTGACTGACTGACTGACTGACCTATCAGCGTACAGCCAAAAGTACTAAGCCTAGAAAGCTGAAATTTGGAACATAGGTTTATTTTATAACGTAAGCATCCTCTAAGAAAGGATTTTTGGAAATTTTAACTATAAAGGGGGGAAATGGGGAAGGAGCTTTTAATGAAACTCTTTGTTCTTTAAAGTTAGAAACATGAAAATTTAAATTACAGCTGCTGAGCAAAAATAAAAAATGACGTGTTTCAGGGTTTTGGGATTTTTGACATTTTAAGGGGGGAAAACGGGGGTGAAAGTTTGTAAGGGACTATCGATTTTTTTTGTTCTCAATGAAGTTAGAAACATGAAAATTGGAATTGCAGCTACTGACTACAAATTATTAATGACGCGTTTCAGGGTTTTTGGATTTTCCCATTTTAGGGGGGGAAATGGGGGTGAAAATTTATTTGGGAGTATCCATGTTTTTGGTTCTCTTTAAAGTTAAAAACATGAAAATTGGAATTGCAGCTAATGAGTACAAATAATAACGTATTTTAGGGTTTTTGGATTTTCACATTTTAAGGGGGGAAACCGAGGGGTATAAGTTTATTTGAAAATATCAATTTTTTTAAAGGTCGGAACTTGAAAATTGGAATTGTAGGTTCTCGTCATAAATAAATGATAAAGTGTTTCATGGTTTTCGGATTTTCACATTTTAAGGGGGGAAAACGGGGGTGAAAATTAATAAAAATTAATAAAACATTAATAAAAAATAAATAAAAATTGTTAAAAAATATTAAAAATTATTAAAAATTCTTAAAAATTATTTAAAATTATTAAAAATTATTAAAAATTATTAAAAATTATTAAAAATTATTAAAAATTATTAAAAATTATTAAAAATTATTAAAAATTATTAAAAATTATTAAAAATTATTAAAAATTATTAAAAATTATTAAAAATTATTAAAAATTATTAAAAAATATTAAAAATTATTAAAAATTATTAAAAATTATTAAAAATTATTAAAAATTATTAAAAATTATTAAAAATTATTAAAAATTATTAAAAATTATTAAAAATTATTAAAAATTATTAAAAATTATTAAAAATTTTTAAAAATTATTAAAATTAATAAAAATTAATAAAAATTAATAAAAATTAATAAAAGTTAATAAAAATTAATAAAAATTAATAAAAATTAATAAAAGTTAATAAAAATTAATAAAAATTAATAAAAATTAATAAAAGTTAATAAAAATTAATAAAAATTAATAAAAATTAATAAAAATTAATAAAAATTAATAGAAATTAATAAAAATTAAAAATTAATAAAAATTAGTAATAATTAATAAAAATTATTAAAAATTAGTAAAAATTAATGAAAATTAATAAAAATTAATAAAAATTAATAAAAATTAATAAAAATTAATAAAAATTAATAAAAATTAATAAAAATTAATAAAAATTAATAAAAATTAATAAAAATTAATAAAAATTAATGAAAATTAATAAAAATTAATACAAATGAGTAAAAATTTAAAAAAAATTAATAAATATGAATAAATATAAAAAAATGAATGAAAATCAATAAAACTAATAAAAATTAATAAAAAAGGAAGTCATGTATTTTTTTATATTAATAACACGACTGTATGCGAGCAAAGTTGCGAGCAAAGCCGCGGGCAATAGCTAGTTTATTTATATAATACTTAGGCACTATTACAATTCACAATTCTAATTTATTTTTTACAATTTATCTTTTATATCCAACACTTAAATTGAAACTTCTGCCTTCCGACAAACTCTATTTATTTAAATCCAGCTCTGCACTAGTACTTTCTAGACGATCTAGAACATCCGGGAACTCCTTCTCTATGACTCAGCGCTGCAAATCCATTTCTCCGGTAGCTTCTCGAAGCAGTGCGTTTGTCTCGATATGGCAAGCATTAGACTTCGTATTGTGGGTAAGGTAGTGAACAAAGAACAGATCCGCCTTTTCGCAACAGTATTGTTTATTCACTTATTATTATTCTCTCCGCCCCTTTCCAGAACCAGTTTTTAAATATTCCAAGCATTTGTGAAACTCCGGCGTTTTTACCCCTAAGGACTAGAAGAGTCTTCAACCAGTTACCAAAACCGCTCGATTATGCTAATAAGGGATTATATTATTTTTCAATCTTAATTTTTACTATTTTTTGCCACTGGTGAATGGATATTCCTTCCGGATATCCTTTGGCTGGTGGTAAAGCTGCCTTTATCTCTTAATAGTATATTGACAACAGTAGTTAAAGACTTATCAGTGACTTCTTTAGACTAGGTCATTGGTTACATATCGTATACATATATAACTATTGTAATTACAAAGACTAACAAACTTTGCTACTATTAAAAAACAAACAACTGTAATATAAGGTCTCTAAACTAACGGATACAATATTACTTTCACCAACCATAAAATAAATTTTAACAGGAAATTTTGAAGATATCAAATTTGCAGAAAGCAGTCCACCTTCAAAACCCTCCTTTCGGCTATCATCCCGAAGGATATGAGCTCGTGCAAGCAGCGACGGACAGAGGTCACGATGACAAAGCATTCAAGAGCGAACTCAATGTTGTCTTGCTGCCCAATCCAATGCCATTGATCGGATTCGACAAATACAAGAACGTTCAAAGGTAACTAACGATTTAGTGATAAAGATTAACTCACAAAAAAAGAGAATTTGTAATAGGGCTATAGCATGTACAGATTATTTTAATTGTTAGTTACAACTTGCCTCAGAAAATGTTTGTTTGTCACATTTACGTTCTACGTTCTTTTGCCTCCCCTAGTCTAGATGCAATTTGTTTCCGATTCGTAGAAGTGCTGAATTTCTTGTTTTAAAAATAATTTGGACTTTTAAAGACATGCCACGCCCCGTCTATGTCGTCCGAATTACCGGGAAAGTAAAATATTGTGACATACATCAAATAATAAATATAGTGTAAGTGTATCGTATACATTTTTACTTATAAAAAATCTTCGTTTTAAATCAATCATTTTACCGCTATCTACTTTTTATTTGCATCTGCTTCGCCTCAGAAAGCTAAATGCTATTCTTACTTCTCCTTATCAAGAATAATAATTGATAATTCAGGTTTTCAAATAAGCGTTAAGAGAAAAATGAAAATAAATATTTTATATATAAAATATATTTCTTCAAAGCACCTTAAAAAGGTCCTTAACACGATTATTTTAGTACTGAATCTAACTGAGAGATAAACAGTACTAGTAATTCCACTGATTTAAAAAAACTACGTCATTCTAAAGGATTATTTATACTCCTGATTTTCGGAAATCAAACTAAGTACCCAAGTAACACAAGAAGCCATAAAGAAGCTTGCACGTGGATTTCGGTGCTAATAGCAAATATAAGCATTTAAATCTGGACACCAAAGCTTCTAGAAGTAGTCATCATTACGTAACATTGGCCAAAAGGGAGCGTGTGATTTGGCAAGCAAGAAGATTTTGTGACTTATTAAATTTTAAGCTAATAAGCCACGGTGACCAGATTTCACGATAATAAACTGTTATCCAGTAATTTTGTACCAATCATAGCATTTAACTAAAATGTCTAAATTTTTCTTGAAATCTATATAATTTCAGACGCTTTGACAACACAGTTAAAGTCGTAAATGAACGAACGGATCATCCATGTTTGTCTGGGGTGTCAACTAAGCAGTCACCGATGCCAAAATAAAGCTCACTGGCATTGAATGCTAATTCGCTATCGAATGTGCTGCTTAGAAGCTTGAAAAGTTAAAATTTCTAAGGTTATTTTAAAAATTATTAGAATTTAAAATTTTCGGGTTTAATCCTACTTCCTACTTATTGCTGCGTTTGAAAAGTACCTCGTTTTGCTTTTTTTACTCGATACCACCCCTTTCGCCCCGTTTGCTCCATTGATATAGTTTGCTCGATGTCACGTGACCAAAAAATATACTCGCTCTGCTCGATGAGGTACTTTTCAAACGCAGCAAATATATAAATGCGAAATTTTGGATATATGGATAGATGCATGTATGGATGGATCTTAGATAAAAGAGACCGAAGATGTAACATTGCACACTGCGCATGTTGTCTGTTTTAACTCCAAGTAACCCACCAATTGAAAATCATTGTTTGCACGACGCCACCCGAATTGCTCCGATTTCCCATTCAACGCTCACCTCCGCCTGAGTTCAGTCACCATTGACAGCTGTTTTTTGATTTATTTGTTGGTGTTTTAGCAATTTAAAGTGTTCTAGTTATTCAATTTTAAACTCAAAATGCCACGATGTATCTTGAGAAATTGTATATACTTATAATACAAGTACCAATGCTATGAAAAATAAAAAATATATTCGTTTTCAGCGGTAAATATTTATTACCGTTTTGACATAAAGCGCCATAATCCTTTGAGCTGAATACATCAGATCCGCATTAAGGGGTTTCAATAAATATTCATCAAATACATATTTCAGAAAACAGATTTCGTATTACTTACATAAATTTACAAAAGGATAAAATTTTAAATATTTAATTTAAATAAGAAGTAAATAGGCATTGTTGCTAACTAAATTTTGTTTTTAAAAAGTAGTTTTATAAGAATATTTACTAAAGGTGGTTTTTAGCTCTTTTTGGTAGATAAATAAGAAGTAAAGAAGCATAGTTGATTAGTAGTATTTTTATAAGAATATTAGATAAAATACAGGATGAATAACTTAAAATTTTAAGATAATGTAATAATCGATTTTAAAGGAAATACAAAAAGAAAGTAGAATTATTCAAAATAATCGATTGATTGAAAATAATCGAGTCTTTGGAAAAATCGATTTATCGTTTAATCGGTGTTTTAATTAATCGATTATTTTCGATTAATCGATTATTTTCGATTAATCGATTATTTTCGATTAATCGATTATTTTCGATTAATCGATTATTTTCGATTAATCGATTATTTTCAAATTTTCAAAGGTATTATATGAAAATAATTAATTGATCGAATATAATTCGTTATTTTTTATAAATATCGATTTATCGGTTAATCAGTTTTTTAATAATTATTAATTATTTTCGATTTATTGATTTTTATCGAATATTTTAGATTTTTCAAAGACAATAGAATAATCAATTTTAAAGGAACTATGAAAAGGATTATTAGAAAATAATCGATAATTCGGTTATTTTTTGGAAAATAGATTTATCGTAGAATCGGATTCTTAATTAATCGATTATTTTCGGTATTGCAATGATAATCGAATTATCGATTTTAAATGAAATACAATAAAAATAAATTATTGATAATAATCGATTGATCGAAAATAATCGATTATTTAAAATAATCGACAATCCGGTTTTTTTTTTTTGAAAATCGATTTATCAGTTAATCGACTTTTTAATTAATCGATTATTTTTGATTTTTCAAAGACTATCGAATAATCTGTTTCAATGAACGAAAAAAAAAATGGATTATTTGAAAATAATCGATTATTTAAAAATAATCGATTATTTAAAATAAACGATAATTTTTTGTAAACACTGATTTATCGGTTAATTGGCTTTTTAATTAATCGATGATTTTTGATTTTTCAAAGATAATCAAGTAGTCTATTTTAAAGGAAATACGAAAAACAAATAGATTGAACAGAATGGATTGATTGAAAATAATCGATTATTTTCAATGATCGAAAATAATCGATTATTTTCAATGATCGATTATTTATTTCGACAATCACTCATCCTCTATATTAATATTCCTAAAGAAAGAAGCTGAGGTTACAATACAAAACAGCATTTTCTCATTATGACTAATTTTTAATATTATGTAAGCCGTAGAAAAAATATAATGTTTGACTCAAAAGGTTTGATTTGCAGTATTCGCCTGCGCACATGCTTTTTTATAATACTCGTAGACAATGAGTACCATTTCTTGCTCTATTAACAATATTCTATTTCTGAAAAGTCCGTAGTAAATAAACGCTAACGAAATATTTTATAAAAGGTCTTCTTTTTACATAAAATGTCGTGCATCTGTTTGATATTAAAAAATCACGTTAATTTTATTTCATAATACAAAATTCCATTAAACATATATTTTAAATAAATCTAATAGTTCATTATGATGCTAATAAACAAAGTCCGGTCCTTGTCACAGAGTTCGGGTTTCTGCCCAGTTCCCCCACTCCGTTAACCTTTCTTTAGAAATTGGCAACATTTGCGCAGGTTAAACACCGATGTGTTATATATCTGGTCTCTTTTATCTAAGGGATGGATATATGTATGTATGGATGGATAGATGTATGTATGATGGATGCATGGATGGATGGATAGATGTATGTACGTATGGATGTATGAATGTATGGATGCACGGATGTATGTATGTATGTATGTATGTATGTATGTATGTATGTATGTATGTATGGATGGGTGGATGTATGAATGTATGGATGTATGGATGTATGGATGTATGGATGTATGGATGTATGGATGAGTGGATGGATGTATGGATATATGGATGTGTGGATGTATGGATGTATGGATGTATGGATGTATGGATGTATGTATGGATGTATGGATGTATGGATGTATGGATGTATGGATGTATGGATGTATGGATGTATGGATGTATGGATGTATGGATGTATGGATGTATGGATGTATGGATGTATGGATGTATGGATGTATGGATGTATGGATGTATGGATGTATGGATGTATGGATGTATGGATGTATGGATGTATGGATGTATGGATGTATGGATGTATGGATGTATGGATGTATGGATGTATGGATGTATGGATGTATGGATGTTTGGATGTATGGATGTATGGATGTATGGATGTATGGATGTATGGATGTATGGATGTATGGATGTATGGATGTATGGATGTATGGATGTATGGATGTATGGATGTATGGATGTATGGATGTATGGATGTATGGATGAGTGGATGGATGTATGGATATATGGATGTGTGGATGTATGGATGTATGTATGGATATATGGATGTATGGATGTATGGATGTATGGATGTATGGATGTATGGATGTATGGATGTATAGATGGATGTATGGATGGATGAATGGATGTATGTTGCTCAATCACGTCAGAACGGCTGAACGAATCTAAATGAAATTTGGCACAAAGATAGGTTATAGTCTGGAATAGCACATATGCTACTTTTATCCCAGAAAATGTACGATTCCGTGGGACAGAACAAGGGAGCAGACATAATTTTTTGCATAGTGGTAGTGAAACATGAAAATTTGAAATACAGCTACTGGGCATAAATAAATAATGCGGTGTTGTAGGGTTTTGGATTTTCACATTTTAAGGGGGGACATGGGGATTGAAAGTATGTATGGAAGCATCGATTTTTTTAAAGGTAGGAACTTGAAAATTGGAATTGCAGCTACTTGTCATAAATTAAAAGATATATTTCAGGGTATTTGGATTTTTAAATATTAAAGGGGGAAACGGGAGGTGAAAGTTTTTCTGAGACTTTCGCTTTTTTAAAGGTAGGAACTTAAAAATTCATCATAGGTAAATAATGGTGTATTTAACTAATAAAAATTATTAAATATTAATAAAAATTAATAAAAATTATTAAAAATTAATAAAAATTAATAAAAATTAATAAAAATTAATAAAAAT